TGGTTGACAGGAAAAGAGTTCCATGGGAAACTGCTGATTTGGTAAGCATTAACTTAAATAATTATTTGCAAAAAATTAGCAATTATTTAACATAGTCTTCATTCCAGTCTCATTTGATAAATTTACCACCATAGATTTTATATTTGTATCCAGGCAAGAGTCATATGTTGTTTTCCAAGTGGCAAAATTTCAAAGGAAAAATTCTGCCATATCACGAAAGAAACGTCACCAAGTGAAGGACACACAACATCTAGGTGAACATGAGGAGTTTTTTGTATTATATAGATTTAAAAATGATTTTTCATTTATTTTTGGTATTACTTTATTATTTCTCTTAAAAATCAAATAAACTATATTTTACGTAAATCAACCATTGCTTTATTTCATATCAAACACGGAAAATAGTTTGAATTCAGCTCGAAAAACTCAATTCTTAAATCAATTTTATTTTTGAATTAGAACAAGTGAGAGTTTGGATTAAATCAAGTTTGGAAATATATTTCTTTATCATTTCAATCTGTGGTACTCTCAATTTAATCTTTTAATCAGGAACAAAATTCTTGAAACCAGAATATTGTGAGATAATTCTGATTTATAGAATGCACAAATCAAGGCCACGTTGCGCTTGAATCAAGTTTTATTAAGCATTAAATCAATCCTAGCGATCTTTTACCAAGTAAATTTCGTACTTAGATCGAAACTAAAATAAACTTAAATCAATTCCAGTTTTCTTAAATCAAGACTCTTCTGAGCTTAAAGCAAACACAATCCGACACAAATGGTGCTAAAATTAAGAAATCCGCACTAGAAAAAACCGTACTTAAATCAAGTTTTTTCATCTTGGTATAAGAAAAACCGCACTTACCGTACTTTTGACACCGCTCCGGCTTCATTTAAGTACGGAATACTCAATTTTTTTTATCAGTGTATATTGACTCCAACCATATCTTCCATATCAATATCATAGGCATAATCATTTAATAGTTTCACAATAAAAATAGTCATAAGACAAATTTCGTTATTTTATCTTTTGCAAACAGAAAAAATTGCACACACTTTAATCATTCAATTGTAATATCTGTTAATCCTTTTCTTTCAACTAAATAAACATTCGAACACACACACACACACTCATTCGCATAAAAGGACAAACACATTAGAGCATTATCTGTTTATCAGGCAGAGTGCTGTGTAATGGTTTACCTAAAATATTAAATTACTTTTGGGCAAATATATCCATAAATATTATGTTGGTCAGCCAAAGGTGTTTGCTTATTTATTTATACTCAACAAACGTGTCTGTATACCTACATACACAGAGATGAAACAGGAGTCCGTCCACTCACACACTTGCATATGGTTTCACATTGCATGTGTCTTAATTATATGAAATCTACTTTGACTTTTGACCACAAAATTACTTTCGGAAATCTAAAAAGCAATGGCTGGATGGATTGTTGGTACGTCGGTTCGGTTCGGTTCGTGTGCTTGCCTTAGTTGGATTCCCAATGTTGTTCGTTTTGTTTAATTAATGTTTGACTTGATGACCAAATTGTTGTAGTATCTATGTACGTACATGCATACATAGCTACAATTACTCAGCAATTACTTGAAAAGATAAATATTGTCTCGTTTTCTTGTTAAACATATCAATTTGTGTGTCTTAATATTCACACAACACACATACACACACAACCAGAGATTTTATGAAATTCAAGTAAATAATTTAGAAGAACTAAATTGAAACATTCGTCCGATGTGTGTAAATCTGTTAAATATTTCAGGATGAAAACTGTCAATTGAATTAGAAAAGTAAAGGAATAAAAACAAGAAAACATAAGAGCGGAAGACGGAAGACAAAGACAATAACAACGATAACTACTATACATTTCTGGAAACACACACATTTTCAAAGCTTTTTCATAATTTTTCGCACTGGGTTAATAACTTGATATATGATCCAAACAACATTTCAAAATTAAAACACGATTTTAAACAACCATTTGAATGTTCGTAGCTAATAATTTTAAACAACCACCTTAGTAATAATTCAAAACTCAGGTTTTTTCTTCTAATATCAAAGCTTTTGGCGGTCCCGATTGGTTCAAGATTTTAATGCTGCACTGTGTAATTACATGTATAGCTACCAACGTCTGGAATTTATGAGTTTTTGAATGGAATTTTGCTATGAAGAAAACTATATCTAAATCTGGACCGATTTTCTCGAAACTTGGCAGACATCATTCTGGGCTCAATTAAGTACGTTATGCCAAATTTCGTGCAAATCGAAGGATATATAGGGACTTTGGTGCACCATTTACATGTAATCGGACGAAGCTATATATGGGAGCTATATCTAAATCTGGACCGATTTTGTCGAAACTTGGCAGACATCATTCTAGCCTCAGTTCAGTACGTTATACCAAATTTCGTGGAAATCGAAAGATATATAAGAACATTAGGGCACCATTTACATGAAATCAGACGAAACTATATATGGGAGCTATATCTAAATCTGGACCGATTTTCTCGAAACTTGGCAGACATCATTCTGGGCTCAATTAAGTACGTTATGCCAAATTTCGTGCAAATCGAAGGATATATAGGGGCTTTGGTGCACCATTTACATGTAATCGGACGAAGCTATATATGGGAGCTATATCTAAATCTGGACCGATTTTCACGAAACTTGGCAGACGTCATACTAGGCTCAATTCAGTACGTTATACCAAATTTCGTGCAAATCGAAAGATATATAAGAACATTAGGGCACCATTTACATGAAATCGGACGAAACTATATATGGGAGCTATATCTAAATCTGGACCGATTTTCACGAAAATTGGCAGATATCACTCTAGGCTTAATTCAGTACGTTATGACAAATTTCGTGCAAATAAAAAGATATATAGGGACTTTGGGGCACCATTTACATGAAATCGGACGAAACTATATATGGGAGCTATATCTAAATCTGGACCGATTTTCACGAAACTTGGCAAACAACACTCTAGGCTTAATTCAGTACGTTATGCCAAATTTCGTGCAAATAAAAAGATATATAGGGACTTTGGGGCACCATTTACATGAAATCGGACGAAACTATATATGGGAGCTATATCTAAATCTGGACCGATTTTCACGAAAATTGGCAGACATCATTATAGGCCTAAATGATTAGCCTGTACCAAATTTCGTGTAAATCGAAAGATATATAGGGACCGTTTACATTAAATCGGTTAAATATATATATGGGAGCTATATCTAAATCTGAACCGATTTTTCAATAGGGTTCGTCCTTGGGCCGAATAAGTGACCTATGCCAAATTTCATCCAATTCGGATCATAAATGCGACCTGTACTTTGTTTACAATTTAACATGGACAGACAGACAGACAGACGGACGGACGGACATGCATAAATCGACTTAGAAAGTGATTCTATGCATATTCTCAAAAGGAACCATGGGTCTATCTCAATTATTTTTGCCTGTTACAAACATATGCACAAAGACATAATACCCTGTACCACAGCGTGGTGAAGGGTATAAAAACAATAAAACATCAGAGCGGAAACGGAAGTCGAAGACAATAACAAAGATAACTACTATACATTTCTGGAAACACACACATTTTCAAAGCTTTTTCATAATTTTTCGCACTGGGTTAATAACTTGCTAATAATTTGACCAACAATATATGACAGCAAGATAGTCAAAGGAAAAACAAACAACATTTCTTAAAACACCGTTTGGATTGGAAGGATTTTTCACACGGTTGTAGTATCACAAAGTCAAAGTCTCAAAAATGAACCATTTGAATGTTCGTAGAGAAATCCACTCAAAATTAAAACCGGTTTTAAACAACCACCTTAGCTAATAATTCAAAACTCAGTTAGGGTTTTTCTTCTAACATCATAAGCTTTTGGCGGTCCCGATTGGTTCAAGATTTTAATGCTGCACTGTGTAATTACATGTATAGCTACCAACGTCTGGAATTTATGAGTTTTTGAATGGAATTTTGCTATGAAGGAAACATTTTTGAAAAGAAATCGAAAAAGCGAAAAATGAATCATCATTGATAGAGGTACCTCAAAAATATGATTTTTAAGCGTTTTAATTTTATATTTTTTTAACAGAATGGTCTTATTAAGAAATATTGGTCTTAAGAAATTTCTTTATAAAATCCACGCCTATTGGTCTTAAGAAATTTCTTTATAAAATCCACGCCTATTGGTCTTAAGAAATTTCTTTATAAAATCCACGCCTATTGGTCTTAAGAAATTTCTTTATAAAATCCACGCCTATTGGTCTTAAGAAATTTCTTTATAAAATCCACGCCTATTGGTCTTAAGAAATTTCTTTATAAAATCCACGCCTATTGGTCTTAAGAAATTTCTTTATAAAATCCACGCCTATTGGTCTTAAGAAATTTCTTTATAAAATCCACGCCTATTGGTCTTAAGAAATTTCTTTATAAAATCCACGCCTATTGGTCTTAAGAAATTTCTTTATAAAATCCACGCCTATTGGTCTTAAGAAATTTCTTTATAAAATCCACGCCTATTGGTCTTAAGAAATTTCTTTATAAAATCCACGCCTATTGGTCTTAAGAAATTTCTTTATAAAATCCACGCCTATTGGTCTTAAGAAATTTCTTTATAAAATCCACGCCTATTGGTCTTAAGAAATTTCTTTATAAAATCCACGCCTATTGGTCTTAAGAAATTTCTTTATAAAATCCACGCCTATTGGTCTTAAGAAATTTCTTTATAAAATCCACGCCTATTGGTCTTAAGAAATTTCTTTATAAAATTTAAAAAAATGTTATCGATGAAAATTTTACTAACACGGAACACTTTCTTGTCAATATCTATCGATTCTTCAAAAGTCAAATTTTATGGTTTTTTTCGGAAACATATTTCGATGCGTGACATTTCAAAGTAGTTTCTTATACATTTTGCCATTACATTGTATTGTAAATTAAATAATAATATACAAAATGAAAATAGAAACGTCTGAAAAGGACAATGGCGCTTCTTCATCACATTCTTCACAGAAACTATCCATAACAAATTTACCAGCCAATGACGAAGAACTTGAAGTGGATAATAATTTACGAAAAATTCCCAATTCGGATTACATTACGGACGAAGTATTGAAACGTTACGTGGGTTCGAAAGAGAGTTTGAGTTCGCAAGAAATTCGTATGTTATTAAGAGACTCTAGAGATTCTATTTTAAGGCATTATAAGGATCGATTTGATTATAGTAACACGCCAAGTTTTAATCAGCTGAAGTCGCCTTAGTAAGTAAAATATATAAAATTATTACTTAGTTTAGTCAATCTACATTGTCAACGGAAATAAGTTTATATCCTAGATGAACTACGGAAATGACTTCATGTCCTGCATAAATTACAATTAATCTTATTTTTTATCACCCACATTTCCAGCCCCTTAATTTGTCGTGAACGTTATCGCCTGGCAAAGAAGCAATACGAACATCAATTACAAACGGAGATTCAACAAATCATAAATCAGCAAGAAAAGGCTTTCGATGCCATATGTTTTGTACGGTAACTAAGGTCAACACAGTTATCCCGTTATATCAACTGTACCCATATTTCATTTAATTTATTTTGTAGAGTTATGGCCATAACCTCATTATGGCCACCACTACACACATGCCGCGATGTTGAACACACACATCAGCACTATTTTCAATTGACACCCAAACAACGGAAACGTCTAAGTTTTATTATGGGAGTAGACTGGAGCAAAACATAATTTTATGGATCGGAATTGTATGTGTGTGTGTGTGTACACCTCAAAAATAGTCTGACACATTTAAGTGGAACCTGTCATCAAGTGCTGGACAGACACATTCATTATAAATCCACATGTTGAAATTCATTTCATTTTTTCCTACCTTTTTTAACTGCAATTACGAAATAAAACACCATCCATAAGATAACAAGTTTTTCAGTACGTGCTGGGAAATGTCCAACTGGGTTCCCAAACTTAAATGTTGCGAGTCAGCATATCAAAAACACCAACAACAAGAAGAATAGAAAATTTATTATTTTTTGTCATATTTTTACTGCCAGAACACAGAAACAAACAAAGAAAAATAACCTCAACAGGTGAGTGTTGAGTCGATGAAGATTTCCATTAACTTTCCATGGACAATGTCCTGGGGACACATACAAAACAAAAACCCTTAACGTTCGTAGAACAAAATAAAATAATTTGTCAAACATAAACAACAAGAAAAAAAGTGATACAAAACATGATAAATTTGGGGCTCTTAAATCTGCTGACGAAAAAAAAAACAGAATAGAGACATTGTAAATATGCATACCTTCGCAGGAGTATAAACAATATTCAAGGTTATTTTCCAAAGGGATTTTGTTTTTAATAAAACTTGACAAAAAGTTAATAGAAAACAAAACGATTTTCTAGACTTTTTAATAGTGACAATTATGTATATAAGAAAGTGTGAGGAAATTGATGGCTTTAGATTTAAGAAAATTGAAATAAACAGAGTTAAATGACAAGCGAGATACTTTACATATACAATGTATATTAATATTTGTTCCAATGCATTAGTAATTTTTTCCTGAGAGTGAAATAACAACAGTCGGTATTCTCTATTTGTACCCTTCACCACACTGTGTCCGTCTGTCTGTCCATGTTAAATTGTTCAGATTTAGTTATAGCTCCCATATATAGTTTCGTCCGATGTAATGTAAAAGGTGCACCAAAGTCAACATATATCTTTCGAGATGCACGAAATTTGGCACAGCGTACTGAATTAACTCTGGAATGATGTTTTTTAAGTTTCGTGAATATATATATTTCATCCGATTTAAGGTAAATTGTGCACCAAAGGCCCTATATTTCATTCGATTTGCGCGAAATTTGGCATAGTGTACTGATTTGAGTCTAGAGTATTGTTTGCTAGGAATCGTGAAAATCAGTTCAGATTTAGATATAGCTTCCATATATATTTTCGTCTGATTTTATGTAAATAGTGTATGAAAACTCCTGAATTTCTTTTGATTTGCTCGAAATCTAGCATAGCATACTAAATTGAGTCTAGATAGATGTGCTTTTCGTGAAAATCGGTGTAGATTTAGATATAGCTCCTATATATATATATATATATTTCGTCCGATTTTTAGTAAATGGTGCACCAAAGAGTCAAATTTAGGGATATTGGCACGAAATGTTGCACAAGGTACCGAAATTGGTATAGCCTAAAGGATACCAAGTTTTATTGAAATCGGTTCAGAAATTTCATGTGTGGCTCTGAAGCCTGTGGTTAATTATTGGTCTGTTCCCGTACTGCAGGAAGTCATAACCCTAGGCTACATCTGTATGACATTTGTAGTTATCAAATATTATGAACACATATTGCACCAAAGATAGTATCTTTGACAACATCTTACTGACAGCATTACATATTTAGCTTTGCTTGATTCTTGTTTAGATGTTAAATATTAATGTGAATAAACATTCAAAGTCATTAAAATCATTAGTTTAAGATTTCAAAAATATTTATATGTGCAGCTACATAAATGTCATGCTAACCACATGCAATCTGCAATTATTAAACCACAATCTAAAGATAAGTGCAGAATTTATTTAGATAGACGTACGACAACACATCCTCGACACAAAGAACCAAAAGTGGATGTTGCATGTGTCAACAAAAGGGAAGATAATTACAACAAACATTCGAGAGCAGATAGAGCTGTGCGTCTCACTCCGAATATTTGAATATTCGAGTGTGATGGTAGTGGTGCATGAATTGCAGGTGTATGGTAATCGGGTATTCTCTTTGTACAAGTGTTTGTGCATGTATAATGTATGCAATTAAGGTAATAAATGCTATAAAAACTTTATAAGAGCCTAGTGATAAATTCTGCCACCACACTGACAGCTGTAATTGCAAATTGTCATGACTCCGAAGTGAAAACTTAAAGAAAACATTGCCGAAGAAGACGAAGGACAGAGAAGTGAAAGAAACCCGATGATTTTTCTCTTTGTTCCAAAGTACAGGCAAAAATATCAACGAACAAGCAAACACGGCAGGGGACGTATGGAAGGAAGAACGAAATGACAAGAAATTGCCTGACATATGTCAAAGACAATGAAGGAATGCCTGAACGAATGAATGAATGACTTGGAATGCAGTAATACCCCGAATGCAACGGAATAAATATTTGAGCACAAATAACAATCGAAATCAAGGTAGCAAGCAAAACTTTCACGTAATTTGTTTCAAAGTTCAATCGGAACAAATGAAATGCCAGCAATCAGATACAACTGTCACGCAGCAGCGAAACAATTGCGAACAAAAATACGACAGAATGAGTGCAATTTCGGTAAACTGATTTCTGTTTTCGTTTGGTGTGAACAAAAGTTTGCACGAATGCAATTATAGTAATTACGGGCTCATTTAAGAAATTGAACAAATAGTTTTTTTTTTTTTGCTCTAAATGGGAATTATTATGAAAAATCAACAAAACGAAATTACCAATGCACAAGAAGGGTAGTTTGTAATTGTGGATATTTTTAAAATGTTTATCACCTCAACATATTAAAAAAATAAATACATACATAATTTTTCGAAAGGAAGGATGTCGACAACGTATGCCTCCAGTATAATATGGGATGTATATTAAATTTTTCATTCTCCTTGCAAAAATTCTAAATTATATAGTATTACTGTCTCTAAATAAAGGTACCGCCTACTCTTCGGTATTTAAAAAATTTTGGAAGCACAAGTGGATGTAATTTGGTATTCTGGATTCTTGGAGGATAGAAAATAATAGAAAAAAAATCAATATATTTGTGGTATTTTGAAGGCATGCTGCAGTTTTCAAAATAATTGGCTGTATTTTGGGCTGAGCATTTCGAACTTTTTCAATTTTAGGTACATTCATGGACCTTAGCACATTTAATATTACCCAATATTTTGACATAGTTCCATAAAATGTCCTGTCCCATGTTTGGTATGCTGAAGGTTTTAGCTAAATTTTCCAATCGGAATGTCTGTATTTTTTTTACATAAGGGCAAACTATTACGATCTATGGTATATTATTCTTATCAACTCAAACCCGTCATGAGGTTCTACTCAACAGATATAGCATCGTCACCGTTATTTGAAAATGTCCACCATCCCCATGAATATAAATAGTTTATTCATAAGAAACACATTTCAAATAAAAATAAAGTCAACCACCTCATGTATCATGTCAAGCAGTATATGTTTTACAGGAAGCACCAACAAGTTCAACTAAATATAATAAAACTTTCGCAACTGAGAAATTCTCTGTATTTTTTGAGTATATTTAGTCTATATGTTATTAAATTGATAAAAAATTCTAATATTTCATTATTATTTTACGAAAATTAAATACCAGAATTTTTATGTGGCTAATTTTTTTGGCCAAAATATCACTTTTCATTTGACAGAGCCTGACACAATTCCCAGGTGGCACAGCCAAGACACACACACATACCCATACACTGTGTTTTGCCCATGGCAATTGTCATGTTTATAACACCTAAATATTTTTTTCTTTTTTGTTCATATAATGGAAATAATTAAATTTATTTTTCATTCAAGTCTTTATTATTTTCTTAAAGAGCACACAATATTATCCTTGAATTAACAGGCGATTTAAAAAAAAAAACACAACAACAAAGATCCTTAAAACATTATTAATATTTATATTTGTGTTTATTTAATAATCCAAAATTTGTGTGATAATTAAAATGTAAATAAACACCATTCCACGCAGGCATGCTCACACACACACACAAAACCCAGCGAGACCATAAACAGGTGGAATATTATTACTCAACCGTACATCCGTACTTTTGGCTGACTTCGTGGCCGTGTGGCTGTACCAAATTGATGCGGTTGTTTGCACACACTCTATACATTGAAATTGTCTGGCCGGAAACGGAAGCTTTCCAAATATTAAAGAAATGAAGAATTTTATTTAATTCACAGAATTGCTATGTAAACAAAGCCGACATCATCAGCATCATCATAAAGTTTTAATGAATTTCGCATTGTCAAGAGAGCAAGCGAGAGCTTAGCTCTATATTATTGTTGTTTCTGCTGCCATTGTCAGTATTAATATTTTGAGAAAATTTCCACTTAGTAGCAATAAGATACCTTTACAAACTTACCATAATGATGTTAGTTAAAAGAAACCAAAGACAAATAATATTTATAATGTTTTAAATTTCAAAACCTAAAAGAAAATTTCATTCTTAGGGGATAAGCCAAAAACTTTATTTGTTTTTATTCGAAGAGACAAGATGTCGCCCAAGGACTGCCAAGTGCCTTTGACCTGATGATTGATATTCATACGTAAAATATACAGACAGGTCAACGTATGAATCGAAATGTTAACCATTTACATTTAAATTATGTCTAGACAGCGAATTTTTAATATTTTGTATAGCAATAAAATACAAATATTTGCTTAGTTTACTAAAGGAAATATGTTATAAAAATGTTTCAGATATATATGTATGTATAGCTAAGCCGTAAAATTGCTGTAATTTTTCATTGATGATTTTAAAAACTTTTTGTGAAGAGACTTGAGAATTATTGAACTGAAAAGAAAATAATAATCTAACTTCATGGAAAAAATCGATAAAACTCGACAACTAAATTCTCATGGTTATTTTAAATATACTCAGATAGAGTTTGATGTAGAAAATCGAAAAATTATGACAGAGCTTTTCAAATTTGTCATTTACATCTGTT